CACCCCCAGGACATCCTGCTGGACACTCCCAGACTTCATTCTTCTACCAGCCTAGAGATCTTATCCCTGGCCAGGCCCCAGCCACATGCCCTCCACACTGGAGGCAGCCTTACCCATGTGCCCTTCCACCACCACCTCCCTGGGCCCACCCTCAGCACCTCCCTCCTCTCCCTGCTCTCCACACTGCAGCAGAGGGGCCCGCCTGGCTTCTAATCTAGCCCCTCATTACCCCCACCACCACCCGAACCCTGCCCTGGACCCCAGGCCCTGCCAGTCCACCTGCCCCATACCTCCATCATCATCTGCCCTGGAACTTGGAGTCTTACTCTAGTTTATGTGACAGGGCACTTGTGGTACATAGTGGGGAGAAAAATCAACTTAGAGGTGTCGCCCATGTTTTTTAAAAACGAAGAGAATATCATAGAGCAGAGGATTAGCATACTCTTGCAAAACTTGTTTCCTGTGTGGATGGAGGGGTAGGGTGGGGGTCCCTGTGAGTGTGTGTGTCTGTTTCTGATGGGGTGGGTGAATCTGTGGGTGCTGTTTATGCATGTGTTTGGTGTTTCTGTAACTTCGCATGGTGTGTGCACATGCACGAGTGTGTGGCGTGTTCCCATGTGTGGTTGACACCCCTTCATGTGGTTCCAGTCCATCTGCCTGTCCATCAATCCATCTGTCCAGGGCAGAAGCCCTGCTCCAGGGGAGGAATCTGAAGGGCAGGAGCTCCTTTGTCTCTCCTTTCTCACCTGCCCTCAGGCACATCCGGCTTCCACCCAACCCCACCCATTCTTAAATCTGCAGTCCTCCGTCTGACTTGCCTCCGCAGGTGTAACTGATCTGCAGCTCCTGGAGGGAGCGGCGGGGAGGGGGAGGGCAGTGCGCTTGGGGTTTGGGGCTTGCCCCCTCCCTCTTCCCCTCCTGTCCCCCCACCCCTCACCTCCTGGGGCTCATCACATCCCAGCAGTTCTCCCCTGGTCACCACCTTTGCTGTCTCCGGTTGGAGGCCCTGGGACGGGTGAGCCCCCCTTTGTGGGCTGTGGGGGGAGGGCTGGCTTCAAAGGGCCTCTGTCATACAAAGTGCTATCAACAACAGAAAGCACAGTGGTACCTCGGCTATCGAATGTGATCCGTCCGGGAAGAACATTCGAGTTCCCAAAAGCTCGAAAACCGAGGGATCCACAGCCGCCAGCTGGGCCCCAGGGTCTTGCCCTCAGCGGAAGGCGCGTGGCATGTTCGACTTCCGAGGCGGTTCGGAAACCGAAGCATTTACTTCCGGGTTTAGGGCGCTCGTAACCGGAAATGTTCATCCACAGAGACGTTGGAACCGAGGCACCCCTGTACTAAAATAGGGCTTTCCACTGTGAAACACATGATTGCTCAATGTAAAAAATAAATTTTGGATTCATTTTTTTCACTGTCTATCTTGCCAGAGTCGTTGCTCTGTCTCCGCAGTTCCCATGGCATTCACACCTTTCTTATTAAGTCTTATCTTTTCCTTTATGTGCTGTAGAGGTTCAGAATGAGGCACCCCAAGATGTGCCTGGGTTGTATGATTATTTTGAGCTAAAAGCAACCCAGACCCTTTGGGCTCAAGAGAAACTTCTGCCCTGCCCCCCCCCCCAACTACTTAGAAGAATTTAAATTTGGGACCTTGGCCATAATTAGAGTTATCACCAGGAGTAACTTTTTTTGACATACCTATAGGGCAGGGCAAGCTTCTAAGGACTGGACATCTGCTCTTATCGCCCTACAGTGACCCTCCTCCCCTCTGAAGCCCCAGGCGCCGTCCTTCTTCCTTAGCTCAGAATGTCATATATCCCTCATTTTCCCTGTGTGTCCCTGAACCTCTCGCGTATGTGGGGTCCCCATATGTACACATGTATGTATTAAATTTGGTTGTTTTCTCTCGTTAATCTGTCTCATGTCGATTTATTAGGCTGGAAGAACCTGGGATGGGAGAGGAGAGTTCCTTCCTCCCCCCACGGTCCACGAGGAACACGTGGTCACATAAAAAATACAGACGTGCACATAGAAAAAGATGGCCCCAAATTCCCTCAGCTGACACTGCTGTGCATTCTCCCACCCCATCCACAGAGACTTGGAAGAGGCGGGAGAGGCAGACACCGTCAACTCATCCCAAAGACTCAGAAGTCCCGGCGGTGCCAAATTCTGGGAGTGAGGGACCTCAGGAAATGTGGGCAGCAGGGGACCAGAGGCCAGGGGGCTCCTCACCTGGGCTGAGGAGGCAGGTGGGAACGTCCCTTGGGAGCATCTGGAGCAAAGGCCCCAGGGAGAGGGCAGGCCATCCTGGGGTAGAAGGGCCTGAACTCCGGCTCCAGCTACATTTCTTGCCTGTTCCTTGTGTTGATTTCCTATTTCCTCTGATGCTGTGTGTCTCACTCTCCTTACACAGGAGAAATGACAAAGTGCTGTGCTTGTCCCCAGCTTGGCCTGTGAAACAGCTGCTGGTCCAGCAGTGACCAGCCAGCGTGCCAATAAGGCTTGACTGGCTGTCCCCCCATGGCTGGAAGTAGAGACTCCAGGTCCACTCACACCCAATGCCGGGCTTTTTAAAAAATTGCTCTTTGTTTTAAATTGACAGGGTTTTCCAAAACTACAGAGGATTCCCTCAAATCTGAGGCCTGCACCTTGGGCATTTGTCCTGCTCCATGGGCAGTGGGTCTGGAGTGGGGAGTGTGGGTTTGTGAAGGGAAAGAGGTGGGACAGGCAGGGAAGGTGC